ATTATTCTTTGCAGGTTCCAAATATTTCTACTATTAAAATCATTTGTTCTCCACATTTGAAGAGTTAAGTTTTCCTCACACCTTTACTAAATAAATGGATATTTTAAAAAGTCTTCAGAATTAAAAAAAGAAAATTGAATCTTGAAAGTACCCCCACATACCCCCAGCTGCTCACTAGCTATGTCAGCAGCTCATAGAGATTTTATTTCTACAAATTTATTGACTAAAAGCTTGCCAGACCAGGGAACATTCTGACCTCCTTTTGTAGAACAATAATTTTTTTGCCTTTGTAAGCAGAATTTCAACTTTACACCTGGACCATACTCTACAGAAGATGGTCCTTCTGTCTGCAGATGGTCTGGAGATTTCATTGCCTAGTGTGTAACCCCCTGCATTGGCCAGGTACCTTACTTTCTTGGAATCAGGAGGCAGATGGGCCAGGTGGGGAGGTAAGGAGGACAGAGGGGAAGATGGTCATCCGGAGTAGGTGACTTGGCTTCAAACAGATCAGGGACTAATGCAGAGGCTGTGGAGCTGGGGAAGTGAAAGTGTGCTGAGGATTTGGGGCTTGTTGTTCCAGGGATCTATTAGTGCATAATCAACTACCCCCAAACTTAGTTGTTTAAAGCAGCCACCATTTTATTTATTTCACAGTTCTAGTCAGGAATTTGGGCAGTTCTCTCATTTGACGTCATCCAAGGTCACTTGGTAGTAGTCAGGATGGACTTATATGGGGAGGCCATGGTGGCCTCAACCCATTGCACACCAGGATCAACTGGGACTGCAATTGAAGTGCCTTTGTGTATCTTTCCTAGCATGCCACTCCCAGGGTAGTTGAGTTTCTTATGAGGCAGCTCAGAGTCCTAAGAGAAGGACTAAGAGAGAAGCAATAGGGCCTTTCCACATCTGGTTGTAGAAGTTTAAGACCACTGCTTCCTCTGTATCTTGCTGGTAAGCAAGTCACAAGTCATGAAGGTCAGTACATATTTAGAAACAGCACATATTTAGAAAGAGGAGAATTTGATTCCATCAATTGGCAGGAGTACTGAGGAATTTGTGGCCCCCTTTCAGCTGCCACATGGTGTTCCTTGACGGAAGATTCACTACAAGAGACTTTAGGAAGTGACGGAGGGATGCTGGTGTATGTGATCAAATGTACTTTTCACATTTGGTGGCCAAGATCAGAAGACTGTGGGCTGAGGAGTAGGCAGGGTCTGAGAGTGGGATAGCAGGCAAGGATTACTTTTTCAGGATTCTTTGTTGTGTGTGGAAGATGGGAATGAACCTGGAGGCTCAGAGGAAGGCCTGGGTTTGGAGGGCTTGTGTGCTTGACTTTGTTTCATTTGAAGATGGGTGAGGTCACCAGTGGCTCATTGTTGCAGATTGTGGGTGTGCATTTTCATTCTCATGGATGACTGCTGAACCGATGAACCCTTGAGGAAATTCTGTCTGGTCTTTGGTGATATAACTTTCTTCTGGTCCTAGTCCTTCTGCCTGTGTTCAAGAAAGGGTTGTTTCTTTTAATGGTTGTATTTTCTTTCTTTTTTTTTTTTTTAGAGAGAAGGAGAGAGAGAGATACTAGAATTTTTTTTAATATTTATTTTTAGTTTTTGGTGGACACAACATCTTTGTTTGTATGTGGTGCTGAGGATCGAACCCGGGCCGCACGCATGCCAGGCGAGCGCGCTACCGCTTGAGCCACATCCCCAGCCCTAATGGTTGTATTTTCTAAGTATTGTCTCAGTCTTGTTGCTTCCTTATTCTGTGCCCTTTCTTTGAAGTCCCATTTATTCCTGTGATCTTAACAGACACACATGATGAAGGCCCCCAGATCTTATTATTATATGTAAGTATAATGTAATATTTGAAAGTAAACAAACAAACTGTTTTTTCTGTCACAGTTTTGGAGACCATGAGTCTGAATCAGGGTGTTAGAAGGGCTATGCTACTACCTCTGAAAGTTCTAAGGGAGAATCCTATTTCAGCCTTTGGTGGATCCAGGTACTCCTTGACTTGTGGTTGCATAACTCTAGTCTCTGCCTCCATTTTCACATGGTCACTCCTTTGTCTCTTGTGTCTCTTAGAAGACATTTGCTGTTGGATTTATGGCCTACCAGTAATCCAGGGTGATTTCATCTAGAGACCCTTAATTACGTCTACAAAGACTTTTTCTAAAAGGTCATATTCACAAGTTTCAGAACATGGTCATATCATTTTGAGGGCTAGCATTTCCACTACCACATGCTCCCTCTGGCTATGATGGTTCTCCCAGCTGATCATCTTGCCTCTAACCTGGGTGTATCCTCAAATATATTCATCATGTGATCCATTTGCTTACATCTTACCAGACTTCCCATTCCCTTTGGGGGAATAAGTCCTTTATCCTGGAGAACCTGGCTTCTGTCTGCCTTTCCCATCCTTTACCATTGATTCTTATGCTCTTAAACTTCAGCTCATGGCATTGAACTGCCTTCATCCTCCCTGCCTTATGCAGGCACTAGCCTCACACAAGTTCAGAGTTCTGATTAGATTCAGCAGCATCTTCCCATGAAGCCTTCCCTAAGACCTCTCCTCTGTGCACTGTGCTGCTAGTGCCTCGTGTTCTGCGTGTTTTTTTTTTTTTTTAATAACATTTGTTTTTGTGCCTTTCTCTCTGGGCAGAGAGCTCTGTGAAGGCAGGAAAGCTGATATTCATCATTGTAGCTCTAGTACTCGGTATTATAAATATTGAATAAATGGTGCTGTAGCTTAACCTAATTAGCTGCTCATCTCATCTTGATTCTGGTTTTGCCACCAGTTCTTTAAGTTTTCCGTAAGATTTTTCACCTAACATTATCTAGACATGTAAGTAAGTAGGCAACCTATAAGTAGACTGACTTTTTTATTTCTTTAACATGCAATACTTGTGCACTTCTGTGTAAGTAATTTAAATTATAATGTTTCTGCATGCATTAAGGTTGACATTTCTGGACCCTCCCTCACTTTATGTTAGATATGGTTTTGGAGTTGTTAATAGCAGAAACAAACTTGAGTTAGCTGAAATTAAAAGGAAATTTATGAACAAGGGTCAGAGTACAACTGGGCTAATGGATTCTTTCTATCTCTTTTTGCTTCTTTTCTGTATTCATCTGCTTCATTCTTCCATTTATCTGCTTTTTCAGCCAAATACAGGTTGGGACATGCCCATGGCCCCCATGTTTACAGAGACAAGCAGCCACCCACAGAGGCTGGCTTGGTTAGTTGTTTCTCTTCCCAGTTTTGTGTTTTCCAGGATGAGGATGTCATTGGCCAGCTTGGGCCTTATGACACCTCTGGCCAGTCAGCTGCAGGGTGGTAGAGAGGATGCTGGCAGGGCTGTCTCTTCCAAATGTGGTGCTGGAGCTCACCCTTGGGAATTAAGGGCTGGATTCCAGAGAAGGAAGTGCTATTGTGAGAAAATAGCCTAAAAAGAGCTGGACCAGAAGTGTGGTTGAGAGAAGGATGCAGCAAGGGCTGGGTTAAAACCAGGGGCACAGGAAACACTGCCAGATCTTGTCTTAATTTTCCGTAGACCACAGTAGTGAAAATGTTTTTCAATTGTTTACTGTCTTGGCTTCATTTGGTTTGCATGTGTTTCCTTTAACACAGAATGTTCATCATGAATAAAGTGGTGTGAAAATATCTTAAAACAAAGTGGGTTTATGATGTTTGTTTACTTATGGATATTCCATAGTAGTGATCACAAATATGTTTGAGAAAGTAATGTACATTTTTCTGACTTGCCTGAAAAGGAGAGTAATAAGACTTGAAACAAAATATCATTTATTCTAAAGACATTTTTATATAGCTGACATTCCTTTTGATGGGAATGGAAACAGATTACAAACACAGTGGGAATAACTTCTGGTGATAATGTAAAACCATTGTCAGACTGCAGATACTGACTCAATTCTTAAAACACCCCAAATTCCTTTGTTCCAAAATCTGTGGTTCCCAGTGGCCTCATATCCCCAGTTCTCTACTGATGCCCATCTCCTCTTCTGGGTAGAGCTGGAGAAGTGGAGAGAGCCCAGAGATCTGCTGGACAGGACCCTTAGGCCAGAAACAAGCTACCAGAACCACTGTACCCTGAGTTTGGTATTCTGAGGGAGCTTTGGAGCAGCCATATTTATCTATGTGCATTTTAAATGATTCCTTTCCCTTTTCTTTTCTTGAAAGGAACTTCTGCCAGTGTAGGCAGAGAATGAATAGTAATGTTAGTGTGGCCATAGGGGACAGTGGTCCAAATAGTCAGGGACAAGTTAATTCAAAGTTAGAATATGAAGTCAAAAATTTAACGAACTGCAACCTTGCCTTTCTTTTAAACTCTCATATTAGCAAAATATATAAGAAATCTGTTTAAGGCTATTATGTGTTTTCCTGGTGACTTTGTGAATTTTTGACAGTTTATGGACTATAAAATTCAATGCATAATTTGTATGTTATTTTTTGCTAACCTAGCATTGTAGGGTTCAATGAGAAATGTGAGTGAATGTATTCAGAACTTTAAAGAAAGAAGGTAGCTATATTTGGTCTCCTTACAAATAAAAATCTTATAGACAACATTAACATGATTTGAGAATGAGGTGTGAGGTTTAATTAGTATGCTATTTTCTAACTAGTTCATTTAAAAATATTTCTTAAGTTTCTCTGGGGTCCATTAGAATGGTGCTAGTTGAATTGAGCCTGTTCTTAATATGGCCTCTGCAGAATCTGCTTATTTATACTCTGTTTCAAAAAAGATTTGAAGAGTGACTCCATAGAATAGGAAATCTATAATTACTTGTACATCTCTCTTAAATTAAGTTTCTGGAAGTGATTTGAATTTCATTACAGTTAAAGTCTGTTTTGTAACCCTTTCCTTTTGTGAGTGGTTTGGTGGGCAGTTCTTTAATCCTGTCTTTTCCATTATTTCATCTAACTTTCATGCCTAAAACTTTAAAAATCCATAAATAATTGAAGTATCTCATCTCTGTTCTTAGGTACAATGGTGCTTTACCTAATGGTGACAGAGGAAGGAGGAAAAGCAGATTTGCTCTCTATAAGCGGCTGAAGGCTAATGGTGTTAAACCTAGCACAGTCCATGTGATATCCACACCTCAGGCTTCCAAGGTAGGTGACTTTGGCCTATTTGGGAGGACCTTGCAAACGGTGATTTATGATTATTCCTTATTAGCTGCTTTCTTTCCTTTACTCCTGTTCTTGCATAGGACATTTTCTCAACCATCTAAGGCAGGATATATGTTGGGAGGGGCTGTGCTATGTGCTATAGAATATTTAGCAGCATCCCCAGCTTCAACCCACTAGATGCCAGTGGCACTGTCCTCTCCCAACCCTTAAGTTGTTCAAAACCAAAACAACTTGACATTGTAGGATGTCTTCTGACAAGGGGTTAGTAGGTAAAATCTGCCCTATTTTGAACCTCTGCTTTATGATGAAAAGTAATTACTGTTTTATCAAGTTAGAATTGCTGTGACTGATTGTATATTGTGTGCATGCACAAATATGTAACAACAGTGTGTACAACTAATGCTCCAATAAAAAATGTGGGGGAGGGAGGAATAATAGCTGAAAGATATATAATTTTTTATTCTAAAGAGTTTTTGTATTGAATCTTGGTATAAACTGCAAAGATTTGTAATTTTCGTTATATTAATTGGATATATTTTGTGTTTTCACATATTCTCCATGAGCATGTAATTAAATTTGTGTGATTATCGGAAAGATAGGAAGAAGACAGACCTAAGTGATATAAGTCCACTGTACTTATTTGAAATTAATAAAATGCTATATTTTAAAAAAGGATTATTTAATTTGCTTCCTGATATACAGCTGGGGAAAAATAGGAGCTTTCATTTTGATTGATATATTTTATATATTAGACTTAAGAAAGTTTTTTTTTCAATAAGATGAATTATTTGAGGTATATAAAGTTTCGTTTTGTAGAAAATAATTATATGTATCTGTAGTATTTTATATGGGACTACTAGCTGTACATGTTTATCTTCATGGGTTTTGGTCACTTGGAATAAATCAGACTTGATTCCCATCTTACTGAAAACCTGTATTGAGGGAGAAATGATGGCTTCTTGGAAGCAGGCTGGTGTTTAGATGGTGATAATAGTATGGATCACCTTTATGGGTGCTTTTATTTTAAAAAAGCCCTTATTGTTCCTGAAGCAGAGCTATGGAAAGAGTTTGTTAGAATGTACCAGTTAAGATTGTCTTGTACTAATGAGGGAATGACTAGATAAAAAATATCAAGCTCCAGAGAAACAGAGGAGAAGAGTTTAATGTGGGCAAGTTTTCACCAGGGAAAGAGAAATAAAATAAATATTTTAGGGAAGAAAGAACATTTTATAAGGAAAACAAAGGAAATCCAGCTTTACAAAGATTCTGAAAAAAGAAGTCAAATAGCAACAAAATCTTGGAAGGTCAAGAACTAGAAGAAACATTTTATGTAAACAACAAAAATATTTGGTGTAGAAGAAAACCAAGACAAATGTTTTAAAGCATGGTTTTGAGTGTCAAAACTGTACTGATACTATAGAGGTGGTACTTACAATTTTGCATATTTGTTGACATTCATCTGTGTCTGTACCTTGTTATTGGCTTTTTAAAAAAAAGTCTTAGGTCTGTAATAGAATGGCTGACATTTAAAAAGTTAGGAAAATAATTGTTTTTCAGTGAAATATTAAAATTTACTACTATAGGGATATCAGTGGTTTTTATCATTCCCTACCTCCCACATTTCCCATTTTAGCTGAAGTTTCACCTGTATATCTAGATTTTACTTGAAGTTACTTAGATTATACATCTTTTTGTCTTAAGTTTGTGTTTAAACATATTACCCACAGTACTAAGAGTAGGTCACATCAGGTTTTGGTCTTTACCTTTCTTATGTTGTAATCTGGGGAAAATGTATTCTAAGGGTCTTAGATTACTCATTTATTAAATAAGGAGATTGCCTACAGGCAGAAACAATGTTGAAACAGATAATACACTTTGGTTATAAGCAACAGAAATTCTGAACTTAAATAAAAAGCAAAGATGGGGAAATTCTTACGGGATAGAATAGGAAGAGCTCTCAGAATCAAGGAAAAGTTGGGTAATTGGGTTTCATTAAGAGGAGAAATGGAGTATCAACAAGAGTTCACTTGGATATTCTTTTCATGGGCAGTGACTTGATTTTAGTCACCTTCTGTCTCCTCAGTTTTCTGAGAGAGAGAATCTGATAGACTGCACTTGGGTCACCCAGTGTGGTAAAGGGAGATGGCAGACCAGGCCATCTCCCTTGTGAGTTGACTTCCCAGTGCTGTCCTAACCTCATTCATCTTCGTGCCTCTACTTTGAGGTCCTTGTACTTAGTAAGTACTGAATAATGGTTCGGACAAGGAATAGGTACTGAATCTATTTTCTTCTTCCCTACATGAATTTCTGATCTCAATCACAAATCCTTTCACTTTCTCTGGTCCCTGCCAAACTGGCATCCCTCAGCAGCTTGGCCCTACCACTCCTCCTGCTAGGTTTGCTCTCTTGGCCCCTTTCACTTTGAAGCCCCATTCAGATGTAAACACAGCCTCTTGCATATTTAACTTGATCTGATTGTATTTACTATGCACTTCTTATTTCCATTTCTTCTAGTTCATAGAACTAGCAACGATTCTATTTTGCTACTCCATTCCAGTCTCTTCTTGTTGAGACTATTAATCTAAGCTATCTTTCCCCCCAGATTTGTGGACCTTGCTGACCTATAGCTCGCCTCTGTGTATTTTGGTGCCCCAGTGCAGCCCTGTGTCTTTCTCCCGGACCCTGTAGCTTCTCAGATTCATTGTACTTTAACTCTTTCAATTTCAGAAGCTGTCACTTCTGCTCCACTTTTCCACTCATACAGTACACTTTACAGCCAGTTATCACTTGGAAGTGAACATAATATTCTATTCATTCTACTTGTGCATAAACACTTTCTTATCTACTCTCATTACACATTCCATTCTTCAGTCTGTTCCTATTTGCTATGGTTATTGGTCTACTTGGCTTCTCCAGTTATATGTTAATTTACCCCAGTTTCTCTTTCTTTGGTGCTTTTTGGGCTCCAGGTACCTGAGTACCTGGCTCCAGGCTCTGTCCAGACTCTGCTGGACTGTTTTGTTTGTCCTGCTTGTTGCTTACACCATGTCCCATGAGAATGCCAGTCCCATGGCAAAAAGTATTTCACCTGAAATGACAGTAGTTTGCATGTCCTAGCACTTTTGATTCTTTAGTATTGGAAATAAAAGGTGTGTCTTTGATTAGGGCTGTGAAAGTGAAATCTAGAAGGGTGGGTATGTCAGGACTTGAGCACTGTGCCTTTTGTCTGTGTTGTTTCTTTCTTTGCTCCATAATGTAGGGCTGAACAAGGATGGATACTCCTTTGATGATTGGAGAAGCAGCTGGGAAACAGGACCTCTTAGTCTCCTATGCATGCCAATGTCCAAGCAAAAGCAGATTAGGGTGGCAAACATGTGCCGCTGTTGTGTAATCTCTGTTTGTATAATCTTTATTTGCGCACATAATTGCTCTTGGAATAATACAGGTATTTTTCTGATTATTTTGATTTTTTTTTTAAAAAAATCAAATGTCCTGTTTTATTTCTGGCTGTTCTGTTACATAGGCACAGGGCCTTTAGTAATTTATTCACCCACTCATTTACTCAACAAATATTTATCCAGCACCTTCCATGACTAGGCATTATGCCAAGTACTGGATAGACTGCAGTGAACAAACACATCAGTATGGAGCTAATCATCCAGTGAGTAGGAAACAATAAAGAATCATGTGAATACACACAAAACTGCACATTGTGAAAAGAGCTGTGAGGAAAGAGGGTTCAGAATGGAGACTGGATAGACAAGGAAGGATGTCTGAGCAAGTGGCGTATGAACTGGAGGGAAAAGGGATTGACCAGGACAGCAGAGGGATTCAGGCTACTGTGGGCCTGACTGTAGAAGATTTGAGTTTTTTCCCAAAGGGAAACATTGAAGAGTGTTAAGCAGGAGGAGTGACATGCTATGAGTCGATTTATATATGCCCATTTACTTTTTATTATATAGGGCAACTATTTTGCTATTATTACTAGTGAATAGTGAGTGTGACAGTTGTGGTTGTGGTGATGATGATGATGCCTGTGCCTGATAGGGGAATGTTTTGCTAGCAGCATGGTTGAAATTTAGCTATGGAAAACTCTCTTCCATATGTTTTTTTTGGTGTGTGCTTTTTAAGATATATATGACAGTACAGTGTATTTTGACATATTATATGTACAAAGTATAACGTACTCTAATTAGGATCCCATTCTTGTGGTTGTACATGATATGGAGCTTCATCGGTGGTGTAATCATATATGAACATAGGAAAGTCATGTCCAATTCATTGTACTGTCTTTCCTGTTCCTGTCCCCACTTCCTTCCCTTCATTCCCCTAATCCACTGAACTTCTAATTCTAATCCACTGAACTTCTACCCCTCTCCCCTGTTGTATGTTAGCATCTGCATATCAGAGAGAACATTCAACCTTTGGTGTTTTGGAGAAAACTCTTTATCATGATTTTCCCTTCCTAGATGATGCTTTAATGAAATATCCCTTTTAAAGGTATTTTTGCCTTCAAAAAATAATTGAAAATAATTTTATTCCAGTTAGCATATTTCATAAAGGAAAATATCAGTGGTCTTTAAGTGATAGTTTAGTGAAAGATTAGTACTACTTAATATGATTGCCATGACCAGGCTGAATCCTGTGTCTTACTACTCTTTGTGTTGCTACAATATAGTACCTGGTACTAGGTACTTTATAAAGAAATTTATTTGGCTCACTATTCTGGTGGCTGGAAGGTTCACATAGTATGGCACCTGCATCCTAGTTGTATCACAACATGGCAGAGAAGCAAAAAGGGAACCAGCCAAGATACAAGATACAAGCAGGGAAGCAGAGAAGGGCAAGGCTTGTTTTTTTGATAACAGGCGGCTCCCATGGTCACTAACCCAGTCTTCAAGACCTCATCTACTCTGTGAAACCAGCATTAACCTCTGCCCCAGGTGGTACCCCCATGACCTCCTAATACCATTCTGCTAGGT